GCTATGCTATGCATCATCATAGGACAGAGTATAGAATGGCAGTCAACAGGATCTTCAACTCAACTTCATTGATTTTGAGAAGGCCTCCGATAGCGTCGACCGACAAGTAATTTAGCAGACAGTTGCTTCAACACTATGAAATACCACAGACAAAGCTTTATCAATCTCATTCAACACTTATATGAAGACGACACATGCCAAATAATTCACAATGGGAAGCTCAGTAATGCTTTCGAAGTGAAGAAAAGAGTAAAACAAGGTTGTCTTCTATCACCCATGACCTATGCCTAATGTCACACAAACTTGAAGATCTACGGGCAAAGACTAACAAGTTGACAGAAGAGGTGAGGCAGCGAAGACGGGACTTCAGGTGCACGTAGAGAAGATAGTGGTGATGATGATACCCAACCAATACCACCAGCAACAACAAGCACCAATCACCATCAACTGGAGAAACTTGAAAGAAGTAGCCTCCTTCACCCATCTAGGCAGCATCGCTTCAGCTAGAGGTGGCACGGACGAGGACGTGAAAGTCAGGATCTGAAAAGCAAGACAGGCTTTCATTAATGTGAGACCAGTGTGGAGATCTGCTGCACTCGAGTCAGCATGAAGCGTGAACAATATCTGGATTTTCAACACCAACTTCATGTCAGTGCTTCTGTATGGCTCAGAAACTTGAGGCGTTACGAAAGGGATTTCCAACAAACTACAGACACTCATCAACAACTGCCTACGCTGGATCGTTACTGAAGCTTGGATGGCCAGAATAATAGGAATAAGCCACAAGGAAATATGGCTGGCTGGCTGGCTGGCTGGCAACGAAGCAACCAAGAAGCTGTTGCTCAACAAATATGCACTGGAAGGAAGTGGAGATTGATTGGGCATGCACTGAGAAGGCTGAGTGGGGACATCACGCGTCAGGCCATCGAGTGGAATCCCCATAATGAACGACGAGTTGGGCGTCGGAGGTGAGGGTGACATGAAGGAGATGGTGTGAGGAAGAAATGAGAGCTTGTGGGCTGTTGTGGAGCCAGGTTTAAAAGATTGCAGAGAAGAGAGTGCAGTGGAGACGTGCTACTGAAGCCCAATGTTCCATTAGGAACCCAAAGCACAAATAATAATCGTAATAATGAATCAGAATATGACTGTAGGTGTATCGAAAGAGAATAAGAAGTTTGAATGAGAAGTTTCATAACATGACAACATATATGGAAGCGGAAGTGAGACCAAAAAATGCATAGGATCAGGAATGAATAGTAAGTTGGTCGCTTAGTGAATAGCAACAAGAAGATAGGGGTGATTTCAAAGACTGAAAGTTGTGACCATTAAGGGAGAAGGGATTGGACAGTTTCTTCTGAGTAAAGAAGCTTTGGTTATCTACACAGATGACAAGAGCTTTCACTATGCGAAGAAAACCGAAGACAGGAAAGTGGAATCTACATGATCTCCACAAGGTCCACTACTGGCGGACTGCTTTATGTCCAATTTAAAGAACGGACAGTTTGAATCCACGACTGAAGGTTTTCAACTGTACAAAAAGTACTTGGACGTTACTATTATTATCAATAATAACCAATGTGACTTGAATCCCATTCTACGAACATTCAATAGCTAACATACGACAATTTCATCCACCGTTGAGGTCTACAAAATGTTTTCAATCTCTTTTATGCACGCAAAAAACACAATAACAAAGGAATACATACCAAGCGTTATCTAAAAAGTGAACTGCCGAAACCGTGAAAATCACTGCACCGGACAGAATGGTAGCCCTTTTCGTATCCGTCTATTCATCCAGTAGGAAATTTCACGTTTCCACCTAATTATCCCTCAATAGATAATATAAGGTACCGTTGTGCGCTTAGAGGTTCATTATAATGTGATATGATTTTTTAATCGTGATTTTATGGATAACCTGTCTAGCAATAGTTTAAAGTTTACGCTTATTACTTGTTGACATATTCTTGAGCAGAAGAAGTCAACTAAAATCAGTTTGATGAAATAAACATTGGTTGGAAAACATTTGGTATTGCAAACCTTTAGAGTTATCAATTATAGTCCATGCTCCTCAGTCATCAGACTCATCACTGTATTCATAATGCTTATCGTCGACATGTCCCGAACTTGAGTTCTGAAGTAGAAACCACCAAACCTCAAATGTGACCAATATCCTCTTCAGGAAAACCTATTTATTTCAGTTTAAGTTTTATTAGCATTTTACTGGTTCAAATGCTCAAATGTTCAAATGCCTTAACCCTGTTTATCTCCTCAAGCAGTAAAAGTTTGTTGTCTTCAACCAGAGTTTTCTAAAGCCTCCATCAAATTTGACTTATTTATGATTCGGCAGTCATCGAAACCCCGTTATGACATTTAATCCATTGTATTTTTGAGACAGCGTACATCGTTAGGTCTAAATCAGTGTTCTTCAGTAGTTCCGTGCACATGAGTAGTCAGAAGATTTAATTCCACATATTTACGCGATTTTGCTTCCTCACTTTTTGGAGACACATAGGTGTAATCAGTCGTTTGATATTTTGTTGGAGAGGTCACGCGAAATGTCTGAGACTGGTCAAAGTCGTTTTTACGTGCTGATTTGCAGGATGATAATACATGGAGGAAAAATACTGTTCACGTTTTTCAAGCCTGCACTTACATGATAAATAATCGTAAGCATATTTCTGAGTTAATCGCCTTTTCGCTCACTATTTAGGGTTAATAAATTGTTAATTTTGATTGCTAAAACTCAAACGGCTTATCAAAATGATAATTTTGAATCTATACATTGCTTTAGAAGCTATTTAACGGTACTTGTCGAAATACAGTTTCATGAAATGAGGGTGATCTAGTGTATCCAGAAAGTACAGTGTCTGCTTAGCGCAGCCTTTACCTTCCCTTAGAAGAACAGCTAACAACAGGTACCTGTGACTGCGAAGTTTATGCATCTGCACTTTTAATACATACTTAATCTCAAAGATATGCAACAAGTGGGCCAGGGTGGTTAAATAGGGATACATTGACAGCTTGTTTAACGTTCTCTTGACTTGCGACCCTTGAGTGAGCATCCGATCTATTCACACTTGTGGTTGGACCAATTTATGATTGGAAATACATCATCCAACACTAATGGATGCTTAAGTATTGTCGGTTGAAATGAGATCAGGTAGTAAATGAAAAAGGGTGGTGTTTTTGCACATGCTTATAGTGTTAACAATTGCAGCTTGAACTTAGCAGGGCAGAATTAACCTTAGCTACAGCTCGAAAGATAACTACATCAAAAGATAATTAAAGCAAAAATGAAGACTTTGTAACTGATAACACTTCAAAGCCTATTGTTTGGAATAGCACATAAATCGAACGTTTTCACTGAGCTCTGAATCTCTTCACTTTCACCACTAAATGGCATTTACCGTCCGTCACTCAAGTCATCTTGCGAAAAGATATCTTTAACACACTTCTGCATAAGATGGCTTTTCCCTGTGAAGTGCATTTCTGTGTTTGAGTTGTTTTATAATATCAGAGATACTGGTAGCAACTTGTTGGTTGAACAATTCGGGCTTTAAAACGTTTTTATCCTAGTACAAGAAATTTGCTTTTAGGACCGGTCTTTGAAATTGAATACAATTACCGGGAAGTGCAGATGCTGGCTGACAGTAATTGAGAGAAATGTTGGTAGTTATAAGCAGAGAAACTGTGGTTTGGAAGATATACCATTATTAAGTGTAGAGTCACTGTAAATTTGACATCATGTAACTGCACAGCCATTTGTTTGACTTGGTAAAAGAAGTCACTTATACACAGACTTTTAACAACTTTTGTGAGTACCACCTAATAGCCTAGGTTTACTATAACAGCTAAAACAGCCCATGTGTCAAATGAATTTCGGCCAACTGTTTCAGGCCATCCGGAAAACCGGTAATATGATTATTAGTGTTATTGAGCTATTCCGTGAAACGGACTGGTTTCTGAGTGGATTAGTTAGTATGAAAATCGCTTCATCTAGAGGAGCTAATAAACTACACTGACAGCAACTTCCTTTGCTGGTTGATTGGTTAGTCTGAACTTTCATGGGTCATGTAAATATCCGGTATTTACTGGATGCTTAAAGATAACTTCTGGTCACTGATCGAAAAATGAAACCATCCTAAATAACGAATGAACTACTTGTTTGAAATACGTAATAGGCTTATTTTTGACCCATATCTTGTAATCACGTTATCATAAAGTAAGTCTGTAATCGAATTCAACTAGTAGTTGAATATTGGGTGTTATGCTAATAAAGTGTGATTGATTTGCATCAGTGAATGTGGCATTCACTTTCATATATCTGTAACTATCACATACTTGTGCAAGATAGATATACCTACACTCCAGCATTCTGAAGATCTATTTCATTAGTATGTGTCGTTATGATATTTATAGAATTTACATGAATTAGAATCGCACAACATCAGCGCCTGAAGGCTAATACTAATTTTTTACGCCTCAGCTATATTTATTCGCCATATTGTATATATGAATTATTTTAGGGTATTCTAATTTCAGTATACAGAAATATATTTTTTTTGTTAGCGCATATCGTGCGTCTGCGTTCTATGACATTTATGGAACAGTGGATTGGGTTATATCCTTCTACTTATATGATTAATGTCTGTTCAGCATGACGTCTACCCCAGTTATTCAGGAAATATCATATATATATATATACATATATATATATATATATATATATATATATATATATATATATATATATATATATAGTCATATTTACAGTTGTATGAATAGTTATTAGGTTGTACATATAGTTATTTCAACACTGTCATTCATACGTGCATGTGTGGTGTGGTGCGTTCGTGTCTATTCGCAGACCAATAATAAGCTTTTCTAAATTCAATCATCCATTCGATTGGACGCCATTGTGAGATAGCAAACATAAACATAGTTACAAATAATATGAGGTTGTATGGTTGTAAATGATGTAGAATTACACATAGAAGTCTAAAAATTTTAATGCAATTGAAGTAGACTTCAAACAAGTTATCAGCATTATAATATTGTTAATCGTTATTTAAACTACTAATACTAATATTATTACTATATACTATCATATATTGCTGGGTGTGGTCAAAATGAGTATAGTACATTAAAAAGCAGACGTGTTTTGTGGATTTTATCCCAGTGTATAGTAATAAAAAGAACTACAATTAAAAAAATATATTTTAAAAGAAACTGTAATAATAAAACACTTTTTAAAAATATTATTTTGTTGTCAATGGACACTATGCCTTTTAATGTAAATCAAAACACTAAGTTCATCGTATTATATTCTTAATCCACTTGACTTTTGATTCTCAGTATTAATTTACTTCAACAGCGAAAAATCAATAAATGTCAAAAGTTGCTTAAAAATATTAAGTAGACTGAATCATACAAAATTTGCTATTGCATAATCAGAATGTAAGAGAAATGCACACACACACACATACACATATACACAGACGTATAAGAGGATAATTGTCAACATAAAAATAATCAACTGAATATTTAAAATCTATTTCCCATCATTTAATGAACTTACGCATAATTATTAGTTAATATTCACATCCGAAGTCTTATCTACCGACAAGTGTTTGGCTACGCATTCTATTGAAGAAGATACCTTCTAATGGTATGGAAAAACCAAAGAGAATAACAACAGTGACTACTACAGCGTTTTTGTGTACACACTATTAGTTATTTACTGCAATCCAGTTCATAATGGATTTATTACAATTCATTCTCATTTTTGGTAAGTTTATTAAAGATGAATTAGATGTGAAATTTGATTTCTGAAGTTATTCGCATCATGCTTTGCTTTTGTTAAAAGTTGATTTCTTCCAACCGCTTTTGTATGAGTTTTGCATGTTTGTGTAATTTAAAGCTTACTGGTGTCATCATGATCTCAAAATATTTTATTTATAAAACCGTACTAAATTCTTTCATACTGTATCATTGTTAAAAGTTTTCCTTAAAATATTATTGTGTTAATATTTGAAAGTAAAGGGATTTTAAGTAGGTATTCATTGTGGCCTGAAATCATTTGGAGGATCATCGAAAACTTGGGAGCACTAAAAATTTATTTCATCCAAGTAGGCAACTCCTCAACAGTGTGCATATATGACCCCATAAGTGATTAGGCTTAGGAACTTCAGCTTTCCTGGTCAGAAAATTACCACTCAGCAACTGGGTCAAGATCCAGTGGACTGCATTTTCTGTCAACTTTCGATATAATGTGACATTTATCCAATACCACCGCTGGATACTTGTCCTCATATCCGACTTAGTTTATCTTAATAACTAGTATTGTGTTTATATTTATTGCACTCGACTAGAGCAGTTATATGAAATGAAAATATACATATTGATAATACTGAATAAATGATTGTAGGAAATCAGCAGTGAAAGCAAACCTTAAGTGTGCGTGTCAAAATGTTATATTTCTAGCCCGACAACACTGAAAATGCGTCTATTTCAGTTGAACCTGAAGTGAGCATGTCTGGTTGACTTATTGACTGACTGACAAAATCAAAGCAGAAACGCGAACACAGGTGGATTTGCTGAAGTTATCACACATCACAGTAGTTTACAAAGAAAAGGTGGATGGAAAAGGAGTAATCTTAAAGTAGATAAAGCAAGCATAAAAAGTCAAATTATAAAGTTATTGTTTCCCTTGCATAGTTTACTTTGATTGTTGAGATGATCAGTTGTGCACTTGTTGCACTAGTAATTCAAAAAAGTTTAGCCCGTATCCCTTCCCCTTCCCACTAAAAGCAGCACTAACGTGTACTGAAGCATAGTCTCCTCACGCTTTTTATTGTATCTACAGAGTCACATTCTTATTTTCAGCCTAATACTGTTTTTTGTACAGGCTGTTTCTTCTGTAATATTCTACATTACCATTACTACCAGCCAAAGTGATCATTTATTTGTTTGGTCTAAAAAGAGGAGGTGTAGATGGCTTTTTTTAAATTTAAGTTTGATATTAATCATCGAATCACATCATTTAGAGAATATTTTGAAAACCTAGGAGCAATGAACAGCTGTTTCATCCTAGTATGGGAATTCTCAGCAGTGTGCATTTATGGCTCTACCAGGGGTCTAATCCATGGTCTTCGGGTTCCGTGCATTGACAGACGTAGGAAATGTTGACCAATGGATGATGACCCACTGACTCAGTGGTAACGTGCTGACTGTGTAAAACTAATTCCAGTACATGATGAATGTCAACAGGAAAACAATTAATAAATCACCACAAACCTCCAAAGTGAATTAGTTCTAATACATTGAAAAATGCGTTTTAGGCAATTTATTGTTGCTGTCTTAAAATTTTAATATTCTGAACAACTAATGGTATCCGAAACCTTGTCTTCGAAATACTGATGTTAACAGTGTAAAGAACCAATCAGAAGTAAACACTTAATCCAATTTCTCTGTTGCTTGATGCTTATTAATAAGAGATATCTGTAAACATGAAGAACGAGGTGCTTTATCGGTAACCTTACTTAGTGTTAAAGTTAGAGACCCAAATACTAAGTCATCTAGGTCGCAACTGATCCCCTATAAGTTAGACTTCATCGTGTACACCAACTTATCACTATTGGGTAAGCAATCTAGCTATCTACTTATTAACAGTTGATGCTGATTGAAATTTATCGATCAAGTGATACACAATAAAAATGAACCAGTAAGTAAGCATACTCTAAAACAATAATTGAATTTTGTCCAATGGTAGAAAACGTTTATCAATCGATTAAAATAAAGGTGAATCATCTTATGCCTTAATCAAAAGCATCTCATGTCCCACTCAAACTTTCAGATTTTTTTGAGTACATAGCAGAACTTTTTATAATAATTAATCATTAAAATAGAAGGACGGAATAATATTGAATGCGTCTGTTTTCCAGGAACTTTAGTTTCCACATCATTTCACTCAAGTAAATGGTATATTAATATACATCTTCAGTATATACTCTATATTATATGGTCAGGTCACGTACAGGTTACACATGAGTGAATCAATAAATAAAGTCAGACATAACATTTTTTATCGTTTAAAAATGCGAACAATAATTTGTATTTCCACGCGAATAAATGTGTAAATATGAACTTATATTGATGCGTGTTTCATAGGATATTAGGTATATCTTCGGTTTCGTGAAACATCGCATCCCGATATAATCAAATGTGAATATGACTGACCTCAAAATTAGTGACTAAAATCGATTTAGTCATTAGAAGTTAACATATTGAAAATGCGAAAAATTCTCAGAATTACTTTTATACTAATAAATAGCTCACTTTTAATACTGACAAAAATATCTTATCGATTGTAACAATGTGACTGGAGGATAAGACACAGTAGAAAGATATTTTGGATTGATATATACTCCCTTCTTAGTAAGTACCTTTGACAGACTCTGAACTGAAATGTGGTTTTCTCAGATCCTGATGAAACCAACTAGTCTTAGAGTATATAAGATGAATTTCAGCACGTAGTGAAAACATTGAAAACGCATTGAACGAAATATAAAGAGACTTTTGTTCAACACTAATGTCGCTGTTACTCCAACAATCCACATGGTCGCCGAGACCCTTCTGCCTTCATATACTGATGCTTCACGAGTTAATGAAAGGAAAAGGTGACCGCAGAGAAGGAAAATTTCTCTTTTCGATGACGTCAATCCCTTAGCTTCACATTAGTGAATACATAATATTAATGAGACAACTTTTGAGAGTGACTTCTAGTGGAGAGGTCAAAATGGAATTGTATGACAAGAAGGAGGTGCGTAATATGTCTGTATGCATCCAAAATTGGAAAATTAACAAAATGACTACAGAATGAAGCTACGTCGTGGGGGAATTAATATCTGCTGTGACGGATTTTGTGTAATGGCCATGACAGTCGTCATATAAATATGGACAATAAATTATATCTGAAAAGTTATCCAGTAAATAACACTGGTTCATTACGTGACATTTCTAATAAACAGACCAAAATGGAATTCCTTTCCGGCACAATGACCACGTTTTGTACGTATATGTATGTATGTATGTGTGTATGTATGTATATGCACAACCTCTATGTTTCTCATAACCATCACATAAAATCCGTCACTGAAGATAATAATTCTCTCATGGCGTAAATTTACTTCATCCCGTAGTCATTTTGTTAATTTTCCAATTTTCGATGCATATACGCATATTACGCACCTCCTACTTCACAGCAGTCATCAAGACAAAATGGGAGATATCGAGCAACATCTCTGAAGAAATCTGTGTGACAGAACACTGGAAGTCTTTGAAAGAGATGGGGAAAGAAACCTGCACAGCCGTATTAGGAAGGAAGAAGGGAGAAGATAAGGAATGGAATGGATCTCGACAGACACATGGAAGCTGATAGAGGAGAGGGGAGGAGAGGAGAGGAGAGGAGGATGGTGAAGCAGAAGATAAAGCAGTGCAGTGCAAGGATGCTCAACGACGAGAAGTGGAATTGAGTACAATGTATAAAACAACACAGTGGACAAAGAAGTGAAGAAGAGTGCACGGAAAGGAAAGAGACACTTCTCTCCACTACACACTGGCAAGTGAAGCAGAATAGGCTGGATGTAGGAGAGACAGAGACTTGACAACACTGTATCTAAATAACCAGGTTAGTATCTGGGATGTAAGAAATCAACACAGACGAAACCAGTTATAGATGATGAAGGAAATCTAATAATGAAAGAAGAGGAAGGAGGGAAACGATGGGCTGACCACTTCAAATAACTCTTGAACCGACCATCACCACCATCTGCACTTCGTCCAGAAATACCACCTGCAGCTAAACCACAGAACTACAAGTGGACACAAATTCTCCAACAAAAGTCGAAGTCCTGAACGCCATAAAACTACTGAAATGCGGGAAAGCAGCAGGACCAGATGGGATCCCACCAGAAGCACTGAGAGTAGACGCAGAGACAACAGCAAACATGCTCATACTACACCACTATTGCAGAAAGTGTGGAAGGAAGGGAAGGTACCTGATGGTTGGAAGAAGGGTTACCTTGTCAAACTTCCAAAGAAGAGCGACCTCAGTGTTTGCAAGAACTAAGGCAAAATCGCGCTGCTGTCCACCCTAAGCAAAATATCAAGCCGCATCATCCTAAAGAGACCAAAGGATGCACTGGATTCAAAACTATGACCGGAACAGGCTGATTGGCTGTCTTCAGGAAGTAAAAATCATGTGCAGACCAAATTGAAACGTTAGGCTATGCATCATCATAGGACAGAGTATAGAATGGCAGTCAACAGGATCTTCAACTCAACTTCATTGACTTTGAGAAGGACTTTGACAGCGTCGACCGAGAGGTAATTTGGAAACTGCTTCAATACTACGGAATACCACAAACCTTTATCAGTCTCATTCAACAACTATATGAAGATGCCACATGCCAGCCAAGTAATTCACAATGGGAAGCTCAGTGATGCTTTTGAAGTGAAGACAGGAGTGAAACAAGGTTGCCTACTATCCCCCATGATATTCTTGATTGTGGTGGACTGGATCATGCAGCAAACAGTAGGCAGCGAGAAGAGGGGGATACACTGGACGACGGAAAAGAACCTAGAAGACTTGGATTTCGCCGATGACTTGTGCCTCATGTCACATAAACTTGAAGATCTGCAGGCAAAAACTAACAAGTTGATAGAAGAGGCAGCGAAGACGGGACTTCAGGTGAATATAGAGAAGACAGAGGTGATGAAGATACCGCA